CCCCCCCCCCCCGCTCTCTCATTATCTCAATGCACAACTACTTAAGCTCAAATATGTGTAGTCACTTAGGTTATTATCGCTTAAATCGAGGACAGTTCACCCGCCATAAAGTAGATTTCATTGTAGTTCGGAAAATTCCGTACACTCAAGAAAACGTGCCACGCGAGGGCGTGTGGGAAATGCAATTGGTGACGTCTGTGAACCTTTTGTTACATCAAATCTGTTGTTGAAAAGTGTAAATTTTATTCAATAAACCTGTTTTATTTACTCGATAATACTCATTCACCCCTGTCTGCGCTTTCCAAGTAAAATTTTAAGCTGTGTTTGGCGTAAAGATCCAATTCAGAGTATGAGATAGGGCTCAGAATTATTTACATTTCATGTGGAAAGAAACATGTCTACGAAGTTTGTGTTAAAAGGGATTTTAAGATGTTCGTGAATTCCGCAAAAGGATATTATCACGAGGCAGCCGTGTTCAAGTTTTGTCTGCAAAAAGGCGTTCAAAATTTCTGCGACTGAAGGCTCGCCGATCTGCAGCTGTTTGCCCACGAGGTCAAATGATCCTGGTCTGCCTTTACTTACATTACACTCGGCTGTTCCTTTCTGGTGGATCGTCTTCCGGTAAGTTATGCATAATTCATAATACTTCGTAATATTTTGCTTACATTTCGGGCAGTCCGAAAATCTGTGTGTGTTCACATTTAAAATAATAATTCTTATATTTCTCTATTTGTATCAATCGAAGTAATAATGTAAACGAAACAAAGGCTAAATTAAGAAAAGCAGAATGTCAGATTTTAAGATTCCCTTTTCGCAATAACGGAAGGACTGTCTTCGTAATCTGCGCCCTCCGTTCGTGTGTTGAAATAGGGAAATGGTCTGACACAATTTCACGTGATGTGACGTGCGTGTACTCTGACCCCTCCGCTCTTTATCTGATGAAGTCGTGTCATCGTGGCCCTTTGACCAGGATGAAGGGGTCGCGTAGAAACCGAAGAGCCAGTCAGAAATCAGCCTCAATTAGCCGGAGGCCTCGCACTGCAGTCGCCCGGAGAGATGCCAGCGAAGAAGTGTTCTCACGCGCTCTGATGTTACAAATATTTGCGTGTGCTGTGCCGTGGAACGTGTGAAAATACCACCCAGAGAATTCTTTTTTGAGGAAGATGAGGGAGTCCGGCTGTAGGACACACACACGAGTTCTTCTCGTGGCTGCTGTGTTTTTACTTCGGTTTACGGGAACTGGATCAAGTGAGTACTCTGAGACACTTATACTGGCTTAAGATCCTTAAGTGTTTCAAACCAGTAATGATCGATGTGACCCACCAGGATCGGCTTGTGAGTAATCCCGCCTCCAAGAAAAGATTAATGACTCTTGCATCAGAATTTCCTGCACGCCTCGTCTGGATGGCCTGCAGCTTCTCGTGCAGGTCCAATAGGGCACAGACAACTTGCTCTTAGAATATCTGGAATCGACAGTATTTTCTAAAGATGAATTTTCTTCTCTAGTTTCTCTGGACGTGACTCAGTATTACTCTTGACTCATTGTTTTAAAATCCTTGCTTTCGTGAATACCTTTCACAAAAGAAACTCTTAAGACACCCCATTTGGAGGCGGATAATTAATAACAATAGTAATAATTACATCCATTATAATTTTATGCCCGTCCAAAAGTGCGATTTTACCCTCTGAGTCTGAAGCAAGAACATGAATAGAAGTTGCATGGAAACAGCCGACCAGCTTGACAGTTCAACTGAAAAAAAAAAATACACAAAAGCTAATATTAAAAAATGTAATTTGTCGGGTCTAGCAGACTTTCACGTAAAATTATATTTTATAAATCGGGCTTTCTTGTGCTGATGGACGGTAGAATATTTTCATCTAGTTGTTAACAAGCGTCTGTGATTCCTCCATAATTTTGCATAATTAAATAATTAACTTAATTTGAAGAGCGTTTTGATCGCGGAGGGGGTCTGTCAAAGTGTGTGTTTTATGCATCACGCAACACTAACGAAAATTGGACACACTCATACAGCAGGCCCCCTTCACTCACTGCAATTTGAGCAAATATGGCACGCAAGAGTTAAATCTGGTCGATGTTTTAGAATTCGCTTTTTGTACGTGCAACGAAGTAGGTGCTATTGTCCAGTAGTGAAGCTTGGAACTCGGAGTATGAGTTGAAGTTACGGGCATGTTGCGTCTTTTTTTAATCTCTTGTAATCAGCAATGCAACGTGACGCGTGCTCAAATTCGTGAGGTGGCAGAACCAGTCTTCGCCGTGATTTTATGACGTGTAATCCTCTTCTATATTCGCGCTGACATTTGTCAGAGATCAGCGTGTGGCAATTTAGCTGTTGCCATAATGGAGGACCACATCAAACGAGTCGAAAGACTGATGACAAACAAACAAACAAACAAACAGTAGCGTTAAAAAGTCTATTATGTTAAAGGAAGTTAAGTATCCGGTAGGTAAGAAGTGACTCCTTCTGAACTTTCCTCTAATACTGTTCACTGCTTGAAACATTGCTTTATTTTTACAGATCCACTGAAAGATCCAAGCATCTGTGGGCGTCCAACGTGCACTCGTAAGTACATGCATGTCTGAAAATATTTTCATCCTGCATTAATTTTATAAGAAAGTTGTTTTACTTTTCCAAGGAAAGCACAGATTTTAATTATGGAAAATGGATAGTTCTAAGTTTCCAGTCCTTCATAAACCATCCGCTGTATGTTTTAGTTTACGTCATAACTAGAACGTTTTTTAGATTCATAGATCTTTAATTGCCGGTTGTCAGATGATATATTTTTATCCATTCAATATCTATCGGGACAGTCTCGACTTCGAGTTATTTCGCCCGGTCAAATTGGCCGCCGTCGATAATACCTGTGTCAGGTTCTTGTGATGTAATTTTCTATTACGGCTAGTGACGTATTCTTCAATGTATTTTCCGCCAGTGCCACATTTAATCTGTTACAAACATAATTATGCCGAGTGGCTAACATTCCTACCTCTGTCCCTTAAAATAATGGAATCAAATACTGACCCAGAGACCAGCTGGGATAATTCTTGGTTTTTCTCAGTTCCTCCAAGCAAACGCACAGTATGGTAGAGCACAGGTCCCTTTTTTTTCTTTTGAAGGTGTTAAACAATCTTTTACCAGTTGTATTTGACATGAGTAATGCTAAAAGATTTTAAGAATTATCGCTATGTTTGGAATCGTGGCACCCAAACCATCAATAACGAGACTTCGATGATGTAAATTCTTCACTTTTCTCTAAAAGTAGGTAGTTTCGCAATTTATTTCCTGAAACAACGAACTACATGTTCTCTCGATGCATATTCAGTATTTTTAATGTTGTCCTATTCCACCGCCTTGTCAGTTTCTAAGACTTTTTTTGTACGTTCAGACGTGGGGCTTTTCTATAGGAGTTAGAAATAAAACGTTCGATGTTGTCTCGATCTGGTTTCATGTAGTAACTTTGAACTGATGCACGTGACTTATATCTGGTGTCGAGTCAAGTATAAAAGGAAATATTTCATGTAAGCGTAAGCACACCCCCATTTTAGTTGTAGGCTATGTTTACGGTTTCCAACAGTGCGTTTCTGGCGCTGGAGTGTTGGTACGTATCAAGGGACGATATCTCGCACTTGCGCAGGAATCCGTCCATAGTTAGCTTTTTGGTTGCTTGGGCGCGCCACAAATTGGGGAAAGACGGCCGGGCGGGAAGATGATTGCTGGCATGCGCACTAAGCTGTTACCGGAACAGACGTAGAACCGCTTGAAGTCAACTACGTATTATGTTTTTGTGCATGTAACTAGCGAGTGTTGTTTTAGAAGTGGTGCTCTATTTATTGCTAAATAATAAATGTATGCACTATAGAAGCGTGGACTAACAATTCACAGCAAAGATAGAAATGTCATTTGAAATGTGACTAGGAAGCCGAACATAGACATCTTTGGGTTCACATTACAAAGGTCACCTCCAAGGGTTGCAAAATACCGCAACATTTCGTCAAGAACAATAAAACGCATAAGAAATTAAAGTAATAATTTCGCAGTTGACAGTTGGGTAGTCAATACCCAGGAAAACACGGAAGCGTGCAAATGTCTGAAATGTAGAGGTGGATGACTCTGTCCAACGTCATTGAAGATTTTTATTTTTGATGGAAGGTGGTACCGACCTGGAAAAAGATTTTCCCTCTTTTAAAGGAATTACTTATTTTGATTCTACAGTTACAACTTTAAGGCGAATATTGAAAAAATGGGTTTCAAATGGAAAAGCTGTGGGTCCAGAAAGGAAAACATTAATTGAAAGGGAGAATATTGTGAACTGGAGATGTACATATTGCAGCAAATAAAATTAATTATGGATGCAGCTAAGCCATTTTTGTACTTGGGTGGATGTCAATTTGACATTTATGAAGTGCTGACAGTGCACGCTGTGTCTTAAAGTCTGCAGTAGGCCAACTAGGGATACCGGTGTCATCTCAAAAGACACGCTGGGCCTTTAAAGGTTAAAAATTATCCCAATATAGAACCAACGGAATACCAGAAATCATTAACATTCCTTTT